CTGAAAACTGAAGAGTTAATAACATGACAGTCATCGCATTTTAGCTTTAGCTGTTTTCAAATAAAATAAACTAACATGTGCTACAGTTGCTGCAGATGATCTTCATATCAGTTGCAAGACATGAAATAGATTTAGCTTAGATTAACTGAACTAATTAACAATGATAATAATAAAACTAATACATGTAGAAGGGTTAGAGAACACCACCCAAACCTGCAAACACAAAGAAAAAGTTAGAAAAAAATAAAAATAAAATACTAGTGTATTTCAGCAAAAGAGTTTAATATTCACCTTTGGGTCTTTGAGAGAAAGCTGACGGACGTTCAACCCAAAACACACAGTTCCGATATACTCTTCCAGCAAGGTGGTCTGAGTGCATAACAATTTTCCTTAATTATAAACTTGGTTCAGTTTTATTATTACCAACCACCCCAAACCGGGGGTGTCTCAGCTTTTGAATTAGAAGATCTGGTCACACTACTTATTCAGTTTGTCCAAATTTGGACCAGGCCACACCAAACACAATACAAGGCCCCAAAACCAAGTGCCACCTGTGGAAATTAAACATAATCCACAATTGGACCAGATCAAACCACAAGAGACCACACAGTCTCCATAAAAGTGTTTAGAATATGGCACATTTGGATCAGTTTAGGCCCAAATCTGAGCCATTAAAATCCTCAGCATTCAGATCATGTTTTGAGAGGACACAAGGTACAGAAAAGAATAAAAAGAAAGAATAGATGTTTTAAGATTTAAGGGTTACATCATGACCATTGGGTCTGGTCAAGTGGTAATGGAGGGAAACAGGGGCAGATTTTTTACATTCAAATAGCTCTTATTCAGAAACTAGAGGGACTATTGAAATAAGTAAGGTATCAGAATGTAGGAAAGAGTTAACACTCCAACAGGGTAAAGTTAAACCTGCAATATTATTTCAAGTTGTTGACAAAAAATTAAAATACTCATGTCGGTAACAGAGGGAATGAAATATGCAGCACTTTTTGGGCAATAAATACAAACAGTATTTATTACTAGCAGTTCTCACTTACATATCCTTAACAAACTGGTTTGAATATTTGCTTTATATAGTTTTCTATCATATGGTACAAGATTAGGTTGAAAAACCTCTTACTTTTTGAGTAATGAGATTTTTTATTAAGAAAGGTCATGTTAACGGAGGGAAAAGTAACGAGGGAAAATTGTGCAAGCAAGTAGAAGGTGCATGATTTTGCATAATTTGTCAGCTTTTTTCTTCCAAAAACTTTAATATTACTTCAAAATGAAAGGTAACTATTTCTATAAAATATGTCAGTCCTTCCAAGCAAATTTTTATCATTTTAAATTTTTTGAAAAATCATGTACCTTCATCAACAGTTCAAAGATCGAATAACACAAGATATGATGAAATACATCAGTTTATTTACATGATTTGCAGGTCTTTGAAATTTGGGAAATAATTGTTGTTCCATGTTTCATATATGGTATGTTTAAAACGTATGTAACTTTAGAACCAAAAATGGTACAGAAAAAAGGTAAACAGTTTCATAAACTAGAGTGCATATGCTATCTGTTGAATACATTTTTTATATCAGATGCATTAACTTGAATTTCTGGCCTTGCTGTATACTTCTGCTTGACCGGGCCCCATTGTACAATTTGAGGCATTTCGTACTATTTTAAATTTCCAGGATATATGAGAGAATTTTATTTTCCAAGCAGGTTTTCATCCCATTTTAAACCTTTGATGACACCTTTCCACTTTTTGAATTGCATTAGTTTAAATTTGCATGTCTGAGTGAGTGTGTGAGTATTTTAGGGCAGGTCCTGTACCATCCCTATATCATTCATGTGTGGAAAGTGATCATTTAATTCCAACAAGTTCACTGGGCACGGTGGCTGAGTGTCTAGCACTAATGCCTCACAGCAAGAAGGTTATTTGTTCGATCCCTGGGTCGCCCGGGCCTTTCTGTGTGGAGTTTGCATGTTTCTCCCTGTGTCTGGATGGGTTTCCCCCATCAACCCAAAGGTCTTCATGAACAGTTGATAGTCAAGGTCAGTTAAATTTAATCAATTCAATCATTGTGTGTCCTTAGGCAGGACACTTCACCCACATTGCCTAGTATGAAAGTGGTGTGTGTGTGTGTGAGTGATGGTGGTGGTCAGCGGGACTGATGGTGCCTATTGGCATGGGAGCTGCGCTTCTGTCAGTGTGCCCCAGGGCAGCTGTGGCTACAATAGTAGCTTACCATCACCAGGGTATAGAGCCTTGGTGTACATTTCTAAACCTTTTCATTGCAATTTGTGTGAAAAACACGTTTCCCCATGGTTTCACCCTTTGTGATAAATTACATTTTCACACATCAAAATACAGAGAGATTTTATTTGAGACACGTTTTGCTTTTGTTTCATGAGTTTTGTTTGTGGCATTTTGCATTTGTTTTTTGTTTTGTTTTGTTTTGTTTTTTTAAAGGCCTTTCTGTAAGTTTCCTTTTACCAGACAGTTTCAGGACACAAGGCAGCACCTTCATGTTTTATAATCCACCTTTTTCAGTGAGCCATTATTTGAAACACATCCACAGAGTGAAATAGATTTCCTTTCAACAAAAGCATCATTATCATTTGAAACTCATCACATCATCGCTTTATTTATTTCAATCGACTTTGCACATTGCGTAAATGTGAATCAGAGCACCCAGCAGCAGCTTCATTCATCCAACATTTACAAACGAATAGCAATTTATTATTGCAATAATGATTCCATATCCACAAACAAGACTCACCTGGACTCGTAAGACTCACCTGGACTCCTATGTGCTGTTGTCATGTTGATGGTGATCTGGGGCCCGCTACATTTTTGACGCGTTTTCCTGAATCCCATGGCCTTTTCTTTCTTTGTTGGCTACTATCGGCTTGCCATAAGGTGCTACTCTGACATAAAGCAGCGTTTGAAGTGTTATCAAGGGTGACTTTAGTGAAGCTGTCAACAAAGAAAACGAGTTGACTTGGCTCCCCAGTGCCAGGTCATCTGGTGACAGGTGCCTTACCTGTGCAGGTGAGCGCCATTTTTAAAAGAACCCAGCATACATCTGTGCTCACGTGACCACGCCCACCTGGCGGGAATCACCCTGCCAACTATCCCAAGGTATCTCCCCCATGGATCGATCTATCTGTCTATCTATCTATCTATCCAGTGTTTCCCATAGCACTTTATAGTTAAAGCAGCCGCCTTGACAACACTTGGCCCCCGCCACTCTATCTATCCATCCATCCATTGTTAGGCGTCTTTTATCAAAAATAACGACTAGAATCAATCAATTTAAATCACAAAAAATATATTCCCTTTCCAATACAATTCTAATACAGAGCTCTGGGTTAAATCGCTGCCCCTGATAGCCTACATCTACACAGGACTTACATCAGGCAATCTGAACGCCTGTTTCCCTCAAATGAGAGCTATAGAATAACAATATGAATATGCAAATAATATGTTGAGCAGGTTCACAGCTTGTATCTTCCTTGAAGTGTCTCTGCATTCCTTGAGTATGAGGGGATGACAGCCAAGTTTAAATTACTGCCAAGTCAGTTTGGATTAGCTCCAGCCCGAGCCGTCTCCACTGCTGCTGCTGTGCAATGAATTTCCTTAAAAGCACAAAACCTTGTCCTCTGCATAAGAATTACCTTATACGTTTCACACAGTAGAACCTTTAAGCATATATAAGAGTTCCAGGTTTAAGCCTTAACTCAATGTGTAACTCCATTAAACAATATTCAAACAAATATTATAAATTCAATGTTTAATATGCACATGTGATGCGCTCAAGAAGCTACTTGATACAGCCTTCACCATCCATCCATCCATCCATGCTCCTCCCCAGGAATGTTTTGAAGAGACTCTGTGCAGTTTGTCACATGCCAGTGCATTTTAGAGGTTTATAAAGCTTCAGCTCAATAACATAAACCTTAATAAATGTCATAGGTTTAATTTTCCTGACAGTGTCAGTGTCTCTGCCCCTGTGAACTTGACATGACACAGACATGAAAATAAAGTGTGTGCTTCACACAGAGCAGAAAGAACAACATTTATGTATATGTTCTATGACCAGCACAAACACTTCAGGCTTTAAGCCTTTATCAGGACACAGGCTGTTTTATGATCACAGGAACCCATGCTTGGATGCAGCACCTTTATTTTCACAGAAAAATACCAAAGCTGCCTACCAAAGGCTATTGTAGCAGTTCTTTAATCGTGCAAATAGAAAATACTAGAAAATGCTGCTTGTGAGCCAAAATTATCTGCACATAAGAGTGTATATAGATTTGAGATGATTTTGGCCAATTTGATATTTGACATATTTTGAGAGAACAAACTGTATGTAATGTGAAATAAGACAACAGCACCAACAGTTTATTGTACAATATATACAATTTATTGTTTAAAACAGCAACTGTAGAGTTTTGAGTCCTCACAGAGGACATTGAGCATGGACCGTCTTCAGCCTGAAACAACAAAAAGAAAAAGTTATTTCCCATCAGACTGAGCAGAGGAGTGTGTACTGATCCTAAAAGATGAGAGATATTAACCATATATGCATGTGCATTTACAGTTTTAAGTACATACTTATAGTTAGTTATAGACAACCTCTCCATACATTTACATTAAACTAACATCACACTTAAAGACACAAGTTCAGTTTTCATGGGTGAAGAGTGTAAATGTGTATTCTTATAATGCATAAGCTGTGTATTGTGGATAAACAATAAACCAGAAACCAGAACAACATTCGTTTCTTCCTGTCCCAATTGTTAAAGAAGACATATTGTGTTTTTTTTTTTTTTTTTTGTTTTTTCCTGGTATTTAGTTGCATTATGTATGCAATCAGAATTACCAGTAAGTTGATTTCTATTAGTCAAAATTTTTTTTTTTTTTTTTTTTTTTTTTTTTTTTTTTGGCCTGAGGGTGGCGATCGAGTCTAATGCAAAATATGCTTGGACGTCACTTCCACCAAAACACAGTTATAGAGGCAAGCAGAAAAATAGAGACTTAATTCATTGACTAACGAACAGAGTGGCGAATACGTACATTTCTCTTCTTCCTAAAAATGAACCACTCACTAAGACACTGGAAGGAAGCGGCCACGCTGATTGTAGCCGCAGAACAGCGACTTAGTGCGGGCTCTGTAACTTCAAGGACGCTGGGCAAACTGGGCACTCAACACCTGCCGCACTCGTCTTGTTTTGACTACAACATTTTGCTGCTAAAACGAAGTGGTAAAAGCGGTTTCATGCCCAATGCTTATGTGTTCCCCGGAGGACTTGTGGACTCCTCAGACTTTTCGATCGAGTGGCTGGATATTTTCAGATCTTTTAGCAGTAATCCCTGTTTGGGGTTGAGACATGTGAAACAAAATGCAGACACTAGACCCCCCATATTTGCCACTGATAGGTTAAAGTTAGGCTCTCCAATTCCAGGCGAGGTGGCTTTCCGGATTTGTGCCTTGAGAGAAACATTTGAAGAATCAGGCGTGCTTCTAGTTGTTCCTAAAACTGACGAGAAACGTTTGCTCAAAAACAAAGGGGGCACGACCCATCAAGGTATTAATGACATATGCTCCGAAGAACTAAAAAAATGGAGGTCGTTGGTAATCAAGAGCCCTTCTAACTTCATCAGGATGTGCAGGGAGCTGGAGGTCTTGCCTAACATCTGGGCCCTACACGAGTGGTCCAACTGGCTGACTCCTGAGGGCAGGTATGGAGGCAGAAGATTTGACACAGCCTTTTTTATTTGCTGCTTGAAAGAGATACCCCATACACTCCAGGACCAAAAGGAGATTGAACTCTTCCAGGTTATTGCAATAAAATAACATAATTTTTAAGTTATCAAGGTACTATTTGATTGTTTTATTTACAGTGGTCTACACCCACAGAGGTTTTGCAGAGCTATGAAGCTGAGGAATTCTGGATTGCCCCACCACAGTTTTATGAGCTGAGCCGTTTGTGTCAGTTTCCCTCATTAAATGATCTCCACCATTTTGCCAGTGAGCGTGCCATAGAAGGCTGTGAACAGTGGCTGCCAGTTATTACAGTTGAAAAGGACCACCATATCTCACTATTACCAGGTATGGAAATTCAGCTTGAAATACATAATTGAATATTGTTATTTTGTTATCCAGTAAGGATGATGTTTGTTCAAAGTGTGTTCTACCTGTATAATTTCAAGATGTAATCTTGCTTTTGTATTTATTGTTACTTTGTTCCAGGTGACAAGCTCTACCCAGTGAATGTGTCAGAGTCAAGCATGGGCCATGATAGAAGTTCCGCTCTGCACCGTATGGTGATTGCAGATTCGTATCATATAAGACTGCAGATAAATATCACTCCCAAGTACAAGCACGTGCTGCCTGTATTGCCTCTCAGCTCCAAAAGTCTGCTTTAATCTGGACCGTCATTTCTTTTAGTTAAATACACAAAGCGGACAACTCTGTGTTAATTCTTTAAAAACTTTAATGGGATATTTTACATAAGGCATCAGTGTCTTCTAACAGATGACAAGTTCCATTTTTCAAAAAGATCCTATTTAAAGCATTTTGAAGCTGTGTTTTTTTTCTGATAATATACTTTACTTAATAACATAACCAAAAATATTGTTCAGAAAACTGTATTACCTCAATTAGTATTGTATTTTTCCTTTAGTATTACTGTTGATTGTTAAAGCATTGGGCTTTAGTATTTGCAAATTGAGAGTAGCAAGTGAAACATACGAAAATGCGCTTAAAATTGAGTTTTCTTATGCACAAGACGTTTTGGCTTGTGAAAATATATGGGAGAGAGATACGATATGTTTATTTTATTATTTATGCATTTTAGTCTTTACTAAGATAAAGAGATAATGGTAGTTTAGTAAAAATGATGTTAAAACTGTCCAGATTAGAATATGTATATTGACCATTAGATTTTTTTTTAAGTTAAAGTACTTCAAGCTACCACCACCAAGTTTATTATGACAGATGTGACACATGTTGCCCTTTGCCTTCTCTTCTGCCCTTTGTTCAGGCTCACCTGTGGTTTCTGGTCTTCTTCTGTTAGACCAAAACTCGCACACTGTCAGAAAGAGGTAACATAGTTAGCATGTAGTGATTATATGTGAGAATACAACAGGGCTGAATCAGCCAATCTAGTTACAGATGGTAGTTTTAAATACACCTATGGTTATAAGGTATATTTTATTTCAACATTTGTAACAATCATTTAGTGCCATATCTGATACCTGTACACAGCTGACAGATTTGATACAGTTCTTGTGCTGTCCCAATCCATATCCATAGCATTGTGTTATTTATAGGACAGCCCCAATAAAAGGGATAAATGCAAATAATGCCAACAAACCTCAAGTGTTTTTTGTGATGGAAGTGGTTCATGTTTCCCTGAAAAAAATATTCTGTGACTACATTTACCTACATCATCAATATGTTTTAGAACTCGACACTACTTCCTGTAATATTTTACACTTGACATGTCAGAATTATGATAATTGTTCATCTGGTATTCTACCTAACTATGGAATTAGGGGGAAAACTTGTAAAAGCACTGTGTACAAGCAGTGTTAAAGGCAGATTTTTGTTCCAATCTGTTGCCATTGTGCATTGCATTGTGCATTACATCCTAAATTAACATTATTTTTTGTGTAATATTTTTTTGTATTTTTTATGGTCATTATTGTGTAATCTATGCTTATTGCAAGTCTTTCAGTAAAACTCTCATATTTGTTTTTGTTAGACTTTCAACAGCATTGGTTGCTTTCCATTCTCTTAAAGCATTATCGACATTAAGCCTTTGGCCCAGTCCTCAGTTCATCGTGGGTCTATTCTAGGAAACTCTTCAAAGTCTCTTACAACTAAAACTATTAGTTAAAGCAAATGAGCTACTGGCTTCTAGGACTGCTTTAAGCCCTCCTGGTTACATCTAAGACAGTAATCCTCTGCCTGCAAGCATCTATTTTCCTTATGTTGTAAATTTTACATGAAGGAGCACCAGATCAATGTAATGTGATATCAATATAAATATACTTTATTATATGTACAGTACCTGAAACAGCATTCAACTAAACCCTCTATTTAAATGTATTACATTCAATACTGTTTGCAAGAAAACCCTGAAAAGAAGGGAGAGTGTGCTCCCAATGAAGGGTGCAGTATTAAGACTGTGTCTTTCAAGTCCATAGGCTGCCATGATGCATATAGTGTGATACAGTAGTTAACGGAACAGGCAAATCTTCTGACTGTGAATTTACTGTTTTACAAAAGTGTCATTGAAAGCATAGGAGGGTGCAGCTGTTACGATGAAAGAGCTAAAACTGATCCAATCCGAAAGGGTTCACTCTCTTTCCCGTTCTGTCACTAACTGATACCTGATTTTGCTGCACTGAATTCATACATTTATAGCATTACTCAAGGGGGATACTTAACTGTAGGCTACAATCACGCCTGAGCTTTTCTACAGGCATAATCCAGTTGGATTATGTTGTTTATGTCACTCTCGCGGCCTGACTGGCACATCATTTTATGCCATTTTCCCCACTTTGTTCCCAAAAGACAGCACCTCCTGGTCAATATTTCCTCCAGATACCAGGCTTTCATTCTTATCAGCACTATACTATCTAATGCAACTTCTCAACACATTCAATTAGGACCCTCAATTTTAAATCGTCTCCGTTACTCCAAGGGCTGTCTTTCACGCCAACGTTCCATAGTAATTTTTTGGAGCATTTCAGGACATGTTGATGACTAAATACCCAAGCACCAAAGCCACACCGACAATCACGAAGAAAACCAACACTGCGCAGATGGATCCCAAACCCGAGCCTTGACCCCCTCCGCCCCCGTCCTCTTCTTTAGGCTCCTCTTCGCAGATGGAGATGACGCCCACTGAGGAATTCCCCACACTCATGTTGGACTTGAGCTCGGCGCCCGCCTCCTGCTTGGCCTCTACCGCCCATGGAGCCACCTGCACCTTCATCTCCATCTCCTCCATCATCTGGCTCACCTGGCCGATCTCGCACTGCAGCTCCCTCAGGTCGGCGGTGTCAATGTTGCTGTCTGCCTCATATTTCATATTCTGCACGCTCATGGCTCGCGCTGCCACTGTGGTTGTGCTGCCCGTCATGCCCGTTTGGATCAGGTGCCTAGTGGGCACCTTCAATGGGAAATCCTGCCCTATTTCCAGAGAGCGTTTCATGTCCACCTCCAGCAACTCCATGCTGCTGGAAAACAGCACCCACAGACGCTCATATTCGGCGCGATCCTCCTTGCTGATGCTCTTGTCTTTCAGCAAAGATGTTAGTTTAGTCCTATTTGCTACGGCCAACTCCTGGGCCTTTTTACGCGTCCTCTTCAGTTCCTCGCGTAAATTCTGAGAGTCTGATGTACTACCAAGTGCGATCACCAAATGCCTGTAGCAAGCGGTGACTTTGTTTAAAGCGTCCAGCATTGTTTTGCACTCTTCTTTTCCCATATCTTACCAAGACGTCGTGTGCCAAATAAGAGATGAAAAAACCGCGAGCTGTGGCGCCTTGAGCCACCGTCTTAGTTTGGTCCGCACAGCTCCAGCTCAAATCCCCTCAGCGCAAGAGTTAAAGCAAATTCCTTTATATCCATACTCCTTCCTGTCTGAAGCAGTGCGCAGAGCAGCTTAGATATTAATACGTCCGTAACCGGCTTTGGACAACACCATAACGCCGCAGATCGATTCTGAATTCACGGGTGACGTCTCCAGGTCTATCCAAAAGAGAAGCAAAGAGAAACAATCAAGGTTTATTTTGGGCCGTGGTAGAGCTCGATGTTACAGGTGTTGAAGAGTGCGCCTGACACACGGTGTCTTCAAAAATGATGTAGCCTAGGTGATAAAATGAAATGGACCCCTGCGAGCCGACGTGACGTCTGCTCCATACAATGGCTCAAAGTATGCTATAGTGCCCTTTCTGCCACAAGAGCTGTCCATTTATACATCTAACAGATGATGTTTAAATCGCTGTAAGCGCCTTCCAGGTCACATGTGCCCACAAAACACAGATATTCATCCATAGGCTGAAGGAGTGAGACGGCCACTTCGCTCTCATTGGTCATGACGCACCACCGTCAGGGTGAGGACAAATCTGCTATTGGTTTCCGTGTAACAGTAGGGCGGAGCTGTGTTGCACATCTTTGAAAGCTGATTGAAAAAAAAAAAAAAAAAAAAAACTTGCTGCATTTAACAGTCAGTAGAACTGCATCTCTTTTTCACTTATATAATTGGAAATTACTTTTCTTATATTTATAGGTCCATTTAACAAAGCCAAACTACGCTATTGGAAATCATTTATGAACACATAAACCCGTGTAACTACACAAACTCTGGGTCTACAAAAGTATAGACTCTTGGGTATTTGAGGTATTTCATTAATTTCAGATTTTCCTGAATATAATTACTCTTGTGCAAAATATAAATACTGTATGCAATGATAAACATGTTGGCATAACTTTTGAAACAGTTTTCTGGCACATTATTTGTGCTGTCATGTCAAATGGATCTGCAGTTAATGCTGCCACCAATATTACAGTATAATTCAATGGGGGGGCCTTTTCTCCTTGTGTGCAGGTGAGAGGAGGGATGTTTGCCTACTTTGCTCTTTTTGCATTATTGAAGTGGCTGGAGCCTAATGATCCAAAGACTGCAGTGTGAAGCCATGGGATTAGGGCAGACTCCAAAACGACAGGTGCAAAAGGAATTTTGGCCAAAGTATGCAGACTGATGTTTTATTCTTCATGTTATATATAGCATTTATAACTACTTCAGCAAAGTCCTATCTCATTTTGTAAGATCTCAAAAAAAGCATACACTCTGCCCTGAATTTTTCCATGGCAACTCTGTCACCTCATGACGAGTGCACTTCAGGTTTTTTTTCACAATACATTCAATTACTGTAGTTAAACAACTATGAGCTTCTTACACTCATGATCCTTATAGCCCGGTCATTGGAAATGTAGTTAACCTGCAATTGTCAGTCTAGTATGGAAAAACTGTCCAGCCAAATAGGCAAGTTGTTTGTAGTCGAATGAGTCATGAGTGTAGTATTGTGACTTTCAAAGTGGATGTTTAAGGGCTGATTTAGCACAGGATATGTGATCACAGAATATCCAAAACTGGAGCTCTATGTGTTTCCCATTCTTCATAGTTGTATAGAACAGCATATTAAAGATGCACCATGCAGCTTTTCTAGTGAGATATTAGAGAGAGAGATAATATATATATAAACAAACACACAATGGTGAGAACTGAAATTCATGTGCAATAAAGTATGACCATCATTATTATATTATATTATATTATATTATATTATATTATATTTATTATTTCTCTATCCACATACAATTTTAAACAAACCTTACAATTGGATTTGAAATGTAAACTTAATATTGGCTGGGAAGTAGGAACAAAACCACTGGATAGATGGGTTGAAAGAATATGTGTAATCTAGATTCTAAAGTTCTTGGGATTAGCACTATAATACCCACTAATGTATCTTTTAATGGACTCTTTCCTCTGCCAGACATTTTCATATGCAATCAATGCTTAAGCAGGAAATGGAACCTGTTCCCACTCTCTCACGTGATAGATAATGGCGAGGGCATATAACATCGTTTTAGAATTAAACAATAATGATCGCTGTGCATTACATTGCAACTGCTCTCTATTCATGCCATAATCCTTATGTAAAATATATGCAAAATGATATGTAATACATTATCATTGTCTGGTTTAAAAAGTGAGTAGTGATTTTCTCTATGCATCATCCAAACTACATTGGATTAAGTAAAACAACTTTGGGTTTAGGGTAGCATATTAATTTTATTTTAGAACAATTTCAGACAGATACACATTTCTGTTTTAATCCAACTATACACCTCTAATCATGATCCATTTGACCTTTAGTTTTTAGCACTTGGCTATGTTGGAATCAGACAGGATTAGCACTTGTTTAATCTCTGATCATGAAAATCTGACTTGATGTCTTGTGACTATTTTTGTCAAAGACAGATTAGGTTATACATGTGATTTTAACCCAGCAAAAATATCTGTTAGGCTGTGCGGTCAGCAATGAGTTTTATAAAAAAAAAAATAAACAAAAAACTAAAAGTTTGATTTTTGTAAAGACGTGAGAAAAATTCCATCAGAAATGGTAAGAAGAAGGGGACAGAAAAGAGACAAGAGAAAGACAGAAAAAGATGTGTCTTTGTTGAATTATTGATGGTGCTCCTCCTCTTCGGTCTGTCAGCAGGCAGCAGCAGCAACAGCAGCAGGGGGAACCATGAGTCACGCCTTCTCTCAAGGTCCAGACAGAGACAGCTCAGCCTTAAGTTTAACTCACATTCACACTCTCGTAAATCAGAATTCCCTTGACCCACTATGAAGCTGAAAGATAAGCTTTCCTTGAAAGCATCATATGAGTTTTGTATTGATTGTAACAAATGGATTTGCATTCAGGAATGCTGTAATGTCTTCTTGTGACTGCACACAGAGCAATCTAAATGAGAGAATTCCTGACATCAACTTATGTTATGTCTTTTATGTATATGCAAATAAGGCATATTTATGTTTTAATTGCAGTACATTAAAGAATACTGCGTGGGATACACACTTCTCCAGTACTTTACTAAAACATACAAATATTATCTAATATTTGTATGTTGTATTATACTATATAATAATTTTATTATTATATGAAAGCTAATCACTCTAGGGTTTATTCCAAATGTTGAAACTATGTTTTTTCATCATGTTCAAGCATTCTCTTTGTGAATTATATTTGGCTTTTTAAGTTTAACTGGAACAATGTCATCTTTGAAGCCTAAAGCTACAACATTAACAAACATATTTCGTCACCCAGCAATGTGTGACATCATGAAGCAATACAGAATTAGAAAACGTCAATGCTATGAACATCAACCTGGTCCAGGTCTGATTCATGGCTGTAGAGAAGCTAACAGATTGCCCTTCACACAAAATCCCTTTTAAACGGTTGGACTTAGAGAAGACGAAGGTGATGCTGCAGGGATAAGCTGGTGAGAGGGTGGAGGCCTTTTCCTCCTTGGTGTGGAACAGGCCTGATGATCAGTGTACAAATATGTCTGCTCTAATTGTATTGCAGATTTTATCCGAGGATATAGACTCTTGAGCGTTTTGTGAAAAAAATAATAATGATAATAAAAATCCAACAGATGGTATATTACACATGAAATAATGGACATAATAATGAGATTTATTTTGAAAATCACATTATATTTGAACTTGATGGCATTAAAAATATAGTTTTGTAAATACAAAACCCAGAGAGATGAAATAATCAGTTTTTTGACCTGTTTGGGATGGTTAGAGTTTTGAGCTTATAGATGCACAAGGTCACAGATCAGTATACCCATTGTTTATTCATTTGAAAACTCTTTATGAACATGATGCATGTTTACCACATCAAATACAAACATTATTGTTTCTATGCCATTCTTCACTTATGTAAACATTCTTTATACATCTTAAAGATCTTTAATCTTTCGGATATACCTAGCTTGAATAGTCTATCATAGGTGGTTGGGCTGGAAGGGGCGTGCACAGCAGATGTTTTACATACAGTTAGAGTGGCAGCACTTTTACAATCAGATGCTCATAATAGCCATAATGGAGAGAGAGAGGCAGCTCCAGAAATGGAAAGAGCCCCAGTCCTGCTTCAGCCTTTAAGCTGCTTTAGGGGATTGCTGAGTATTTTTCTCTGCCTTGCTCTCAAACAGACAGCTGATATTGGCTCTGAACCAGAACAGGAGAGGGCAAAAGCCCTGAGCTTTCTCTGTGCAGCTGCAGACGTAGGGCAGGAAGGGGCCAAGCTGCTTTGTCTTGACTTTATAATCTACTCTTGGAGCCATGTGACTGCACAGACTGCTGCTATGGGCCGCATAGTGGTACAAGTCAGCAATGTCCCCAGGTGACCACTGAATCTATGATGGGACCAGGCTAAAAATATAAGCACATGGTTAATTAGGGTTTTTGAGATAGCTATAATAATGATATTAATAACAATAATAATAATCACAGCGATAATCATAATCGCAATAAGTAACATCAAATGTAGATCAGCTTTGACTGACACATTATCTCAGCTTATTACTAGTTGAGATAATGTGTCAATTCATCAACTACACTTCTACTTTCATGAACTATTATACATTTATCATTTGTGCATTTAATCACCCAATTTAAACTAGTCTACCAAGTATGAAACACCTATTTAACTCTCTCTCATACTCTCATGCGTTTGTAACCTTTGCTTTGCACCTCTACCCTTGCTGTTAAATGTAGCAGCGCCTCTCTGTGGGAGTATACTTTTTGCACACAGGCTTGCTTTACCAATTCATCTCTTGTCTACCTTTAGTGGGCGCTGTTCCCCTAATAATTAAAATTTCCGGATTTTTCCGAACATATCCGAAAAATCCCGAGACTGACCCGGAAGCTCTGTTGGCCCTGTCATCCCGTTGTTACAGGGATGCTTCGTCCTATGATTTTATATCTTGATCGGTCACACTTGTTTGGGAGCTGGAGTTGCATATTTATCGAACATCAGCATGTTATAAACGTGTTATAGTTTTAACCATACGCACGGAACACAAAGGTATGTTGTTTAGGTGCAGTTTTTACTGTTCTTCACGACGGATATGTGCACGCTAGCCTTAGCTACCATCACAGGCTAGTTAGCTGCACGCTGAATTTACCTTCTATTTTTACAGCATGTACTTGTGCCTCATAGCAAGCTAGTGTTTGGATTAATGCAGCTTCAGTAATGTCAGTAAACATGCGTGAAACAGCAGAAAGGCTTAGCTGTTGTTTTACTATACTTAGATCAGTTCAGTCTCCACTATGTGTTGTAGCACTCAGTCCCGTTTGAATCTTGTACAAGCTTATGTTTGTGTTGACAGACTCAAACACCATATTATCCTAAAAGTGCGATTAATGATCGCAATTTGTGATACAAACTATGTACAAGTTGTATTGTTTGTCATGCCTAAAGAGTGCATAACAAATGTCAACATGAAGTAAAAGCCACAGGTATTAAGATAACATATTGAAAACATGCAGCATGGCATTGCTGAATGGGCGTGGTCTCTGTCCTATTAAACACCTAGCACTAGTATAACACATATAAATATCATACAAATCGTTTTCCAGAATCAAGTGTGTTTCACTGGAGGTTGTTTTGAGTGGCAAAATAATGATTTGTGATAATTATTTTTAGCCTTACTAACAGTGTCAGATGCCAGATAGATGATTTAATTGCATCTTGTTTAACTACCCTTGTCTAAAATTGATAAAATCCATAATATGCTTGGTTTGTTTCCTGCAGGTGTCCAAGCCCGGAAACACCTAATCCTAAATGCTGGTGGAGGAGGTGCACACTGCATCATGTTATTGTAAGCAGCAAACAAATTAGGTAGGTTTCCAGTTACATGTTTTTTATTGTCACTTGGAAACCAAGTGTGAGACTAGAGCTAGGCTTCAATGGTCAGAATTAGAGCAGTCTTGGGTTATTATCAATAACTCTGCCGCTACCAGACCAGTTATGTGGTCTGGACTAGACACCAGTGAAGAGATTTATGGTCACATGATGACCTAAAAGCAGACTGAGAAAGTTCCTGTGTCCTCTGATTTGGAAGTGTTGGATCAGCAGCTAATCGCCAATCAATCAATAAATCAGTACATATTAAACTGAGCTCTTTAAAGCCTGCATATCTCACAAATGCACTTCTTGGTAGTGTAGAACTAAAACTACTGAATGCGCGTTTACCATAGTGCATAGTTTTGATTTTAGATCAGATTGATGTAAGAGCTGACAGCTGTTGGTATTATGTTGAAGTGTTTTCAGCAGGAGCTATTATAGACAGCTGCAGATTCTTAAAAAAAATAAATTTCTGGTTTATTTATGTTAAGACATGGATAAACCAGAAAAAGACATTGTTTTCCCTCTTCCTGTTTTAGAAAACATGTTGCACAAACGTTATCTTGTCAAACTGAACTAACCAAGAGTAATGAAGGGCTAAGTGAACCCTGCTGGCTCACTAGCAGAAACAGAATATACTGAATTAAGTACATTAGTAAGATATAGATAGATAGAGTATATAGATATATAGAGGTTTGGTTTCTGAAGTTTGTCCCTTGTGGCTGCTGTAACAGGATTATTATTTATAGCCCCTTTACCTCGGGTTCAGTTTCACAAATGCACAGCAGTCATTGATTTCAGCCATTGAATCTGTGGACTTAGAAATCTCATTCTCTTGTCTGGTGTGACCTTGAGACACAAAATTTCAAGATGACTACTTTAATCATAAACAATTCAAAGTTTATTGTGACCAGAGAGGAAGTCCATAAATCCCCAGATGATCCCTCATTACTCAAATGTCTACAATGATACATGATGTAGGCATAATGTATATGGTTTGGTTTTGCTCTTTTCAGTTGGTTCCCGAAATGACATTTGATGGAAACCAATAACTGTTAGCATTCTGTTCATTCTTTATGTACATAATCATGTACATGTATTACATAGTATTCATTCTTGTTGATTTTATTGTGTGCAGGGCAGGATGCAGTCTTCCAACCATCGACTGCGAGATATGGAGCAGCACCACCCGCTGCTTTCAGCCTCAAGTGATGTTGAAGCTGGAGGTCTTGGGGCTGGTGTGATGGTGGGCAGTTCCCATGTTGGCCACACGGGGGGGAATCGCACTCTGTGGTTCATCCAAGATGGCTGTGGCATGGTGTGTGCAACCATGACCTGGTTCCTGGTGCTGTATGCTGAATTTGTGGTGAACTTTGTCATGCTGCTGCCTGCCAAGAGCTTTTGGTACTCACTCCTCAATGGTGCTGCCTTCAATTCCTTGGCTGTTCTTGCACTAGCCTCACATCTGCGCACAATGTTGACTGACCCAGTAAGCATAACTGATAAAAATAACTTGTAGTGTTTTTAATCTAAAATTGTAGTTTAATACATTATTCTTTGCTACAAATAGGGGGCTGTTCCAAAAGGCAATGCAACCAAGGAGTACATGGAGAGCCTGCAGTTAAAGCCTGGGGAGGTCATCTACAAGTGTCCAAAATGCTGCAGCATCAAACCTGAGCGAGCACACCATTGCAGGTCAGTCCAGTTGGGACTAGTCAAAGCATGTTTAAGGCCAATAACAATACATATAATGCATAATATGTCCACTTTAATGTGTGGTTTCATTACCAAATGCTGGCTCAATCATAATTACTTCAGCAACCGCTTGTTTTTGTTTTGTTTTTTTGCTTTCAGTATTTGTAAAAGATGCATCAGAAAGATGGATCACCATTGTCCGTGGGTTAATAATTGCGTGGGAGAAAAGAATCAAAGATTTTTGTTCTTTTCACAGTAAGTAGAAAAAGAAACTTTTTTTATAAATAGTTGAATAGGTTTAACATGCTGTATCATGTGTGTTTCCATACAGATGTACATAGCACTGATTTCTGCCCATGCCCTGGGACTGAGTGGAATGCACTTTTTTACGTGTATTAAAACCCAGTGGAACGGTAAATGATTTTACCCTCATAATGTAAACTTAATTATTATTTGGCAGTTCATTAGAGCTTTTAACTCACCATTGGCCAAGCATCATGATATATCTTGGTTGAATTGAAACTGTGAACAATTCTATTTTCTTTATTCATATTCAGAATGCAGTAACTTTTCTCCCGGTGTATCCGTGCTGCTGCTCATCTTCCTCTGTCTGGAAGCCATCCTCTTCCTCACCTTCACAGCTGTA